TAAGGTACAAACTCTTCCTATAGATTTGCTAAACACCAGTTTTCATATTAGGAATTTCTTTTTCAGTTTTATTAAACAATAGAGATTTTATACAATATTTGACAATTTCCTGAGTTACTTTACAATTTATTTAAATGGGATCATAGTGGAAGATCTCTACCACAAGAGACAGACTGAATGTAAACAAATACTTATGGTAGGCTTTGGTCTCTAACTCTCAATCTGGAATCCTGGGTTCGATTCCCAGGCGGGACAGAAATGGTTGGGCACTTTTCCTTTCACTTAAGGCCAAATGGCGGGTTGGGTCACATCCTGGGGAGACCTCGACTCAGGCCTTAATAATAATTATTGAAACAGTGTATATATATATATATATATATATATATATATATATATATATATATATATATATATATATATATATATATATATATATATATACAGGCTTCCTGTCCCCCGGCAAAACTAATTATTATTAGTGTTGAGTAAATAAACATAAAATTATTTTGATGTACAGTACTTTCTAAGGGATAGGGTGTATGTTGATCAGACCACACACTAGGAAGTGAAGGGACGACGACGACGACGTTTCGTCCGTCCTGGACCATTCTCAAGTCGATTTATCGTCCCTTCACTTTCTAGTGTGTGTGGTCTGGTCAGCATACTTCAGCCACGTTATTGTGACTCCTCGCCTGCGATAGGGTGTATATTTTGAGTCCTCAACTAACTCAATATATATATTGAGTTAGTTGCCACCCTTCCCTGGCAGTGTCGTATTCTTCCCTGGCCCTGTCACCCTTCCCTGGCAGTGTCGTATCCTTCCCTGGCCCTGTCACCCTTCCCTGGCAGTGTCGTATCCTTCCCTGGCCCTGTCACCCTTCCCTGGCAGTGTCGTATTCTTCCCTGGCCCTGTCACCCTTCCCTGGCAGTGTCGTATTCTTCCCTGGCCCTGCCACCCTTCCCTGGCAGTGTCGTATCCTTCCCTGGCCCTGCCACCCTTCCCTGGCAGTGTCGTATCCTTCCCTGGCCCTGTCACCCTTCCCTGACAGTGTCGTATTCTTCCCTGGCCCTGTCACCCTTCCCTGACAGTGTCGTATTCTTCCCTGGCCCTGTCACCCTTCCCTGACAGTGTCGTATCACTGCCCAGCAGTATGAGAACACCTGCTGGTGGGTACAGTGTAGTGTGAGGTGGTAACTGGGGTCAGCCAACCTTGGCTTGTGCTGGAGTGCAGCTGGTGTGTGTGTGTGTGTCGCCTGCAGGAGACACCTGGAAATATGTGAGCTTTGTCAGCAGATGCAGCGCCTCCCTCCGTCCACGCTCCCGCTCCTCTGCCTCCAAGCTTCGCCCAGCTACTTCCAGGCCATCACCAGTTTCTCCAAGCCTCGCCCAGCTCCTTCCAGCCCATCACCAACCTCTCCAAGCCTCGCCCAGCTCCTCTCAGCCTATCCCCAGCTCCTCCAAGCCTCGCCCAGCTCCTCCCAGCCCATCCCCAGCTCCTCCAAGCCTCGCCCAGCTCCTCCCAGCCCATCCCCAGCTCCTCCAAGCCTCGCCCAGCTTTTCCCAGCCCATCCCCAGCCTCGCGACCACCCCCCTCCCCAGCATATCCCCACCTAGGGGTCAACACATGAGTGATGTTGACCCTCGTCTCGTCCTCTCGCCTAATTCGTCGAATTTGTTTACGAAATCAACCAATTTGTTCAAAAAAGGCCACTTATTAGTGAAGGTGAAAGCATCGTAATATTAACGTTTCCTGTTCATCTTCCTCGATAGGTTAGGTAGGTTGCTTGGGTTCGTACGTTTGTAGGCCAAACTATTTAATTTTTTTTACAAAATTGTTAATAGAACGGGCTGGCCAGAGGTCCATTTAGCATCATTCGTCCCCCCAAACATTAAACGAAAACAATTGAAAATTTTTTGCTCCGAGAAACATGAATTATGATAATAAATCGCGATTTAAGATAAATTTAAATTTAAATTGCATATAGGCTCAACACCGTTGGTTATATAATATAACTGCAACGGTAATTTTTAATTTTTTATTTATTTATTGTTGTGTTTCCTTACTGGAAGCGCAAGGTGAGGAGAGCCTTGTTGACCTCTGGTATATATATCGTCTGTTGACCTCTGGTATATATCGACCTCTGACCTCTGGTATATATCGCCCGCTGACCTCTGCTGACGATAGGCCCCCGGGGGGAAAAATTCAGGGGTCTGTAGGTCAAAGATAAAAATAATCTTCAATTAAAAGATAAAATTTGAATTTTTGTAATTTAATATTATTTATATTTTTGCGTAAGAGTTGTTTTGTTAATTAATTGTGGTCGCAAATCCCTCGTGGTGTGTCCTTGAGAATAATTTTCTCATTAAAAATGAGATATATATATATAGTTATAAAGTATATTATTTCACCCCAAAAATAATTATTTTATTAAAATATTATTAGTCGAGAAGTTTTAATTTATTTTTCAGTTATAAAGCACTGTTTTAGTAAATGGGCCTGCCAGCCTCGTCCGTAATAGGCTTGCCAGTCAAGTTCGTAATAGGCTTGCCAGCCTCGTTCGTAATAGGCTTGCCAGCCTCGTCCGTAATAGGCTTGCGTCCGTAATAGGCTTGCCAGCCTCGTTCGTAATAGGCTTGCCAGCCTCGTCCGTAATAGGCTTGCGTCCGTAATAGGCTTGCCAGCCTCGTCCGTAATAGGCTTGCCAGCCTCGTCCGTAATAGGCTTGCCAGCCTCGTCCGTAATAGGCTTGCCAGTCTCGTCCGTAAAAAATGAGAAGTAGCAGAGATAATATCTCAAGATGACTTGTTGGCCGACTTGTACGTCGGCCAACTTGACAATCACAGTACACGTACGATATTGGTGGTGACTTGGGTGTGTTAAGAGGACGTCATTTGCCAAGAGAACCCGGGTTTATTGGCCAGTTAGAAAGTCCATTTCACGACGTCGTGTATGCACGGCATTCTAATTGGCCAATACGCAGACCACGCTATTGAGGTGAACCCGGCCGGACTCCAGCGCCCAGCTGATGAAGACGTTTTGTGTGAGCTGAAGAATAGGCTGCTTCCCTGGACGACAGAGGCCAGTATTTCAGGCAGCGACCGGCGAGCAACAGGTGCCAGATGATACAGTTATTTCACGTGTTCCCCGCTGGCCCAGAGTCGTGTGTACCGTTGTGGATTTTAGCGAGGCCGCGCTAGAGCCGCTTTTGTTGAGTTTAATTGGACGAATTAGCGTTGGCTTAAGAGTCCTGCCGGGGAAACAATCTAATTCCCGGAGTATAAAAGAATAATGAAATAGGGAGTTTGTCGAGAGCGTCTGGAATAGCTAGGGTTCTGAGAATTTCCTTTTACGCCAGCCTTTACCTGGAAACAAACTACTCGAGTACAAAGACTTCGCTGCCTCTGGTGCTTGGTGAAGCTGTGGACGCAAACTGTGCAGGATTGGGGCTTGCAGGTCCCTGGTAATAAGGGTCGGGGCTGGTGGTGGTGAGAGGTGGGGCAGGTGGAGAGGTTGGAGGAGTGGGCTGGTGGTGGTGAGAGGTTGGAGGAGCGGGCTGGTGGTGGTGAGAGGTTGGAGGAGCGCGGGCTGGTGGTGGTGAGAGGGAGGGCAGGTGGAGAGGTTGGAGGAGCGGGCTGGTGGCGGTTGGGCGTTTGGTGATATCACATTACATGCTACAGCAGCGGTGAAGTTCAGTTCTTTATTAATAAATGTATATTTGTCTACATTTACAATTTTTACATGCAAACTTACAGTAGCTTCACTAGCCTGTGATTTGCTTAAACTGTGAGACGTGTGAAGATCACCACTACACAGGCTACTGCCTCACAAGACACCCTCAAACAACTTAAGGGCCAAGATGACAAAATTCACTCAAGACATTTGGTCTGTCAGGTCTGTGATACCAGCTCGACCTTTCACAGCCCACATAGTCGTGTTCTACTTGGTTTGCCCCAGAACACGACCCGCCTAGTGTGGGAGCTTCAAGTCCCCCAGGCTGGTGCTGGGGGCAGAGCTCCAGCGAGGGAGGAGTGGCCAGGAGGCCCGCGCTGCTCCCCTGGCCAACTGGTGAAGACTGCAGCAGGGGTTGGGGGCTGTTGAACTGTGGCAGTGACTGATGGAGCTAGTAGGTCGCCTGGTGGTGAAAGCTTTAGCGTGTAGGGCTGCTGGTAGTGGATGCTAACAGCTTTCAGGGGGAAAATACTGGGAAGGGCTGGGATTATCCCAGCTCAGTGTGAAGATGATGCTAGGCTACTGCTTGCTGAATACCTCACATATAGACAAAATATTTTCTCCTCGTTTCATCACGTTACTGCGATTGTATGGTGCATTATAGGTTACTTTTAATTATATTAAATAAGCAAGTCAACTCGGGGGGACTAGTATTACTTAATACTTAAGTATTACTTAATACTTAAGTATTACTTAATACTGGGATAATACCTAATGATCTGGGATCATTAAGAAATCCTGTTTAACTTAGCATGGAGAAGGGACGTGAGCTAAGTAGAAGGAGAGTGCGCCGCCCATTATGTGTAGTGGGGGATGGATCACTTTCACGGCCTGTCTCGCCCAGTCCGCTTGGCGTCTCTTGTGCCAGGCTTAATGCTGGAATTTATACTCTGTCTTTTCCGGCATGTTTGAGGCGGTTGTTGTGGGAATGTATTTGGACATTGTATACCTTGGACGGATTTGGCGCAGGCCCGTGTGTAAATTTGTGCCTGGCGGGAATGATTGGCAGGGTGGAGACGCGCGTGGTTCTTCAGGTATGTATCATGGATTAGATAAAGAAGCTGTTGGTGATGTAGCCCACCTTTCCCCGTTCCCGGTCAAGTACAATACAAATTAATTATCCGACAACTGTTATATTGTCGGATACAGCAGCAGCGGCCGTTGTTCCCGCTTGAGGGGCGTTGGTAGAGGCTTGAGGGAGGTTCCCGTTTGAGGGGGCGTTGGTAGAATGTCTCAAGACATAGTCTCCTCCTCCTCCTCCTCCCACAGGGTTCGAGCGCCACGTGCCCGGCTACCCCCGCTACAGGTACCTGGGGGACCCGTCCAGGGGGGAGCACCACCTGATCATCAAGGGGGTCACCCTGGAGGACGACGGAGAGTACCAGTGTCAAGTGGGACCCACCATGACCTCTCTTCCCATCTGGGCCGCCGCTAATGTCACCGTCATGGGTAAGTGGTTCTTGATTGTGGCTTCTAAAGCCCCCCTCTACCCCCTAAGGATAGGTGACAGACTAAGAGTGATCTATCTTGCAATGAATAAGACATTGCCCTTATTAGGCCCCTTATAGCCTTATATCGCATTAGGAGGTTTGACTCTTGCTGTTTGGGGAGACGAACCAACACTTTAACACCATATAGCCGCAAGTATTATCTATCGCATATAGCCTCAAGTATTATCTATCACCACAACAATCATATCGAGAAAAGTTTTACGTAACTAGTATTGTGTGTTAAGAAAAGATCGATACGCAGATATGATCATTTCCTGTACACACCCACAAATAGTATATACATATATACACACATTAAAGCTGTAAAGAATACATAAATACATGCTTTCCAAAATACATGCATATGTGTATAAATACAAAATGCATCTGTACCTTGCCATAACAAGATTGTGAGGGAAGAAAGGCGAGTGGAAAATATACATTTACAAACGTTGTTGGGATATTGCTGGCTGTAGGGCAGATGGCGACGCAATAGAAGGCTCAGATTTGGGCGGTACACTTGAAGATGGCGGCGTAAGAGCCGGGATATCCTCCGAAAATATTTGAATGGCAAGTGAATGTGTGGAGCTCTTGTGTGTGTGTGTGTGTGTGTGTGTGTGTGTGTGTGTGTGTGTGTGTGTGTGTGTGTGTGTGTGTGTGTGTGTGTGTGTGTGTGTGTGTGTGCTGAAAGCGGAAATGTAGGCCATTATGTGTGGCTCAAGTCTGGTGGAAGAGGCGAGATGTGGCCCAAGTCTTCCGGTAGGGGCGAGAGATGTGGCCCAAGTCTTCCGGTAGGGGCGAGAGATGTGGCCCAAGTCTTCCGGTAGGGGGCGAGAGATGTGGCCCAAGTCTTCCGGTAGGAGGCGAGAGATGTGGCCCAAGTCTTCCGGTAGGGGGCGAGAGATGTGGCCCAAGTCTTCTGGTGAGATCTTGGTGTTCACGCCGTGTCTTCAGAGAGGAGTGAAGAAGTCAGCTCAAGAGTAAAGCGGCCGACGGTATTTTCTCTGTAATCTCTTCCGCGAGGCTAAGGTACAGGTGGGAATGTGCTGATCACCACACCGTGAGAGGCGCAGGTATTGAGCACGTGGCTCTGGTTAATAATGGCGGGTGTCTTTCTCCTTCAGTATCGCCCGCAAGTATCAGCGTGGAGGGTGTGGGTGACGGAGGCGAGGTGGAGGTGGTGGCGGGCGCCTCGCTCCTGCTGGAGTGTGTAGTGAAGGACGCCAGGCCCGCCCCCACGGTCGCCTGGTACAGGGACGCCATCACTCTATACCAAGGTCAGTAACCCCATCCCCCTCCCCTGCGTCTGTGTCCTGTCATCTGGGTCTGTCTTGTCACCTGTCACGCAGCTGGGTCTGTCCTGTCACCTGTCACTCAGCTGGGTCTGTCCTGTCATCTGTCTCCCAAGTGGGTCTGTCCTGTCACCTACACTCCTGCCTTTCTGGGAACCTTTCACTCCGGATATTAACTTCCTGTCTGGCCTAGCTGTTAACCTCTGAACCGCTCGGGTCATGACCTGTGGCCTGGCTGTTAGCTTCTAAGGTCACGACGCTAGTCGAGGGCTGAGCGAGGCACAACTCTCTCACAACTTTAGACAGCCCATGAGACTCTCGTAAAACAACTTTATGATCTTAATAGCATTATTATGGGCCGTAAACAAGCAAGTACCCCCATTCCGGACGATGGTTGTCAGTAAATATATTTGGTGATGGGGTTCTTAGCCCCTCTGGCTCGCCTTAATACCCACAATCCGGCCCAGAAAGCCTCCATTCATTGTGGCCAGATAATAGACTCCTAGTTCTCTTCGTCTAATTATAGTCTGGTAGTTTTGTCTATTATTTTTCTCCATGAATTAGTTCCAGATTTTTGGGTTTTGTCCTTCCGTTGAAGGGCGTGAAAGCTGTTGAATTCAGGTTTCTGGATCGTGGAGAAGGGTGTGAAGACCTTGTGGGGGGAGTGTGTATGCATGTCTCCTGGAGGTTTCAGACCCCCCACCCCATTCCCCCAGACACATCTTCCCATGAACAAATCCACAAGGCGCGTCTGGGATCCTCTCGGACGTAGGTTCGAACCCTCATCACGGCCCCTTGTGGAATTGTTCACTTGATGCATTACGCTATTGTGATTTCTGTGTGTGACATCTTCCCAGGCTCTACGCTCGCCTCTCCCTCTCAGCGGGAGGGAATGCTGTGGCCAACAGGTCCCCTCCCGCGGGGACATCCTTCCTCTTAGCTCTTGCTGACTGTGTAACATTGGTGTTTCTATTTTGTATCGTTTTGGGTGTCGGTGCGTTTATAACACATAATTATGGACCTTTCATTACATTACGCGATATACTACATGACTGCGTCCTTCCCCCCCCCCCACCATCAGGTATGCACCAGGAGACAGTGGAGGCGTCTAAATACCCACGAAGGTGGAGTGTCCGGAGCCGTCTGTTGCTGCACCCGGAGGCTGAGGACGACGGTCAGCAGTACTCCTGTCGGGCCCTTCATCCGGCGCTCCACCAGTCTCCCACCACCCTCGTCGCCTCCGTCAACCTGGCTGTCTTCCGTAAGTTGCTACGTCGTCTTACAGCTCCTGAGGCTGGGGCAGAAGTCTTGATCGGTACTTTAGGGCGGAGGAAAAATGGTGGGTTGCTTAAGGCTGGAGCAGGAGGAGGTGATTAAAGCGGCGAGTTACTACGCCTATATGTGTCACAGAATATTCCGGGTGTCAATACGAGAGCAGAGAAACACAAGGTGATTAATGTCAAATTAGTTATTTTCACCGAGAATATTAGAGAGAGAACATATGAGACAACGAAGCACAATTTTCGATCGTGTTGTAAGTCTGGACATTCTAAGAGGAAGAGTGTCTCTTAAGTAGAAGACTGTTGACGGTAATGTGCAGGTCTTTCATTCTGTGCTCACGAGTTAATGTTGTGTGGCCATACGTAGCCTACAACACAAGTAAGTAGTAGTAATAGGCATCCATCAGTATCAGGAGACTATGGAGTTGCGCTCTGGTTGTCGGTCTGGAGTGGCCTCACCAGGGCGCAAAGCCAGGGTAGGTTGATTCGGGGGGGGGGGGGGAAGCTGTTACCCAGGCAGCAGGTCCCCCCCTCTCCACGGCGCTGAAAGTCTCCAGTGGAAAGGCATACGCCAATACGATTGGTTCCATCAACACAACTACCCAAGTGAACACCCACTTCCTGGTTGGGGCACAAGCATGCTGTGCCTGCGGGTGGGTGACACTCCACTCCCCCTAGCACGGCAGACAAGAACAACTGCCACAGTAAAGGGAAGGAATATTTCGGACAATTTTGAACGTTTTTTTTATTATTTTTTATTAGAATAAGCATAATTTATTTATGTATTAAGCTCTTCTGTTTGATTGACTAGCTGGGACCTCATTTGTTTTACTGAAGTGGTTGGGATAGCATGCTCGATTGAACACTGTTTTATAGCCTTAGTTTGTTTTAAGGCATCACGGGGGGTCCGGATACTCGGCATTAGAGGTCGACGTTCATGAAACGTTTAAAACAGAAATTGATGCTCAACTAGAAGTCATTTTCGTCAATAGTGAGAAAGCTGAGCTTCGCCGTCAGCTGACACTGTGAGGAACTGTTACAAGGGCAGCCTTGCACTGCAGCAGTACACCGCTGCTTGCAACAAGTCACTGTTGGCGGCTATCGAGCAAGGTGAAGTAATTCAACGCCATCGTTGCCTTCATAAAGATTGATGAAGATTAAGCCACCCAAGAGGTGGCACGGGCATGAATAGCCCGTAAGTGGTGGCCCTTTTGAGCCATTACCAGTATCAAAAGATGATACTGGAGATCTGTGGAGGCGCAACTGCACCCTGCGCGACGGGAGATGTCTCCCGGACCAAGTGGTGACATCAAGATTGATGATAAAGATAAAGATTAAGCCACCCAAAAGGTGGCACGGGCATGAATAGCCCGTAAGTGGTGGCCCTTTTGAGCCATTACCAGTATCAAGAGCTGATACTGGAGATCTGTGGAGGCGCGACTGCACCCTGTGTGACGGGAGATGTCTCCCTGACATCAAGACGACTAACAAGTGTATGTATGGGTCGGGTGAGGAGGTAGACGGTATGCCAATTCGTACATGTGAATAAAACTGTGTTTCTTAAAAGGCAGTCGGAGCAGCAGTTCTCTCTCTGGGAAAACAATCGTTGAGACAAGTCTCAAAAGACGTGACGAGTCCATCCAAGTGACCAAGTGAGTATGCACTTCACACACACACACACACTTACAGTGTCAGTAACGTTAACACTATACAGCACAGTGACGGGAGCCAATACGGCCGTCAGGAAACTTTGTCGTTGTATAAGGACAGCGAAGCCGAGCGTCACCCCCCCCCCCTTGCAGAGAATATTCCGGTAATATTGCCAGGTATAGTGATGGACTCTTGCTTGGTAGGTCGAGAAGTTTACCGTATAGTCAAGCGGTAAACTCGGGTCTCCTGGGATTACCTGAGGACCTTATGGTGGGAAATGGCGTATATATATACTCCCGCCACACATTATAACTGCTCTTACGGCTAAATATACAAATCTCCTCTTGCTACCACCACTAATTTGGGGGTAGAAATAGCCTAAGCTACTTTATCCCTTTGAGATGTATTTTCTTGTCTCAATAAACGTACTTGAACTAAGTATAATACCTCGATGCTGTCACGGCTGTCATGATGACATTGTCACTGTGAAATGATCCCATCATGTTCACTGTAACGCCCAACTGTTGTCAACACTAATTTCCATCACCCACAGCTGGCAACACTTTGACTATAATCTCTAACTGCTGACAACATTGTAATTATACTCTACCGTTACTAGAACTGTAATTAATATGACAATCCAACTGACAACACTGCAATTGAGCATCCTAGCTACTTTGCAACATTGCACTCCTGCCAACACTCCAATTATAATTTCCCGGTACTGACAACACAGTAATTAGGTCCCCCCTCTGCTGGTAACACTGCAACGGGCTCAGTCGATTCTGCTGCTAAATCCTCGACTATTAATGTTGAGTTTAATTAAGGAACCGCGATGAAGGCGCTCCTCCTCCGTCAGTAATCCTGGGTATTTAGGCTGATCTGCCCATCTGGAGGTACATGTGAAGCCTACCTAGCCCCAGGCTTGGCGAGGAGCCTAGCCCAGGCTTGGTGAGGAGCCTAGCTCAGGCTTGGTGAGGAGCCTAGCCCAGGCCTGGTGAGGAGCCTAGCCCCAGGCTTGGTGAGGAGCCTAGCCCCAGGCTTGGTGAGGAGCCTAGCCCAGGCTTGGTGAGGAGCCTAGCCCAGGGCTTGGTGAGGAGCCTAGCCCAGGCTCGGCCCTCGAGTCTAGCCCAGGCTCGGCCCTCGAGTCTAGCCCAGGCTAGGCCCTCGAGTCTAGCCCAGGCGAGGCGAGGCCCTCTTTAATATGTAATAGTCTGCTGCGATTTGCTAAACTTGTTTACATTTTCACGACATGTTGGAAAGGGTTTACAGATACGTTCTATCAGTGCAATTTAAGACTGTCCTGATTGTCCTTATCTGTTAAAGATTCTAGTGTCGAGTTTCGTTCCGATGTCCAACCACTTGGGCTGGACGGTAGAGCGACGGTCTCGCTTCACGCAGGTCGGCGTTCAATCCCCGACCGTTGAAGTGGTTGGGCACCATTCCTTCCCTCCCCCGTCCCATCCCAAATCCTTATCCTGATCCCTTCCCAGTGCTATATAGTCGTCATGGCTTGGCGCTTTCCCGACAAATCCCTTCCCTTCCGGTGCCAAACATGGGGATTTATACACGCTGAGTAATCCGGCTTGTCTGCACTATGAAGACAATCTTGAGGTTATCTTGAGAGGATTTCGGGGCTTAGCGTCCCCGCGGCCCGGTCCTCGACCAGGCCTCCTTTCTGTCACACACCCCCAGGAAGCAGCCCGTAGCAGGTGTCTAATTCCCAGGTACTTATTTACTTGTAGGTGAACAGAGGCATCAGGGTGAAAGAAACTCTACCCATTTGTTTCCACCTCCACCGGGGATCGAACCCAGAACCTCAGGACTACGAATCCCGAGCGCTGTCCACTCGGCTGTCAGGCCCCTATATACAAGACTACGTAATGTGGTGGATGTGGGGGTCCCTTGATTGTTTCAAGCGTGGGCTAGACATGTATATGAGTGGGATTGGGTGGTTATAAATAGGAGCTGCCTCGTATAGGCCCATAGGCCTTCTGCAGTTACCTTTATTCTAATGTTGCAGACGAGGAGTCACAATAACGTGGCTGAAATATGTTCACCAAACTACACACTAGAAAGTGAAGGGACGACGACGTTTCGGTCCGTCCTGGACCATTCGCAAGTCGATTGTGAGAATGGTCGACACAAATCGACTTGAGAATGGTCCAGGACGGACCGAAACGTCGTCGTCCCTTGCCTTTCTAGTGTGTAGTTTGGTCAACTTATTCCTACGTTCACATGTAAGTCACACATTACTGTAATAAACTCCACCAAGTCACCATTAACCAGCTACAACAAATATATAAACTGGCACAATATTGTTACGGGAACTTCCACGAGTCGTGGAAATTTTGCCCGGCCTTCTGTAACTCTTTCCTGGTTGCGTGAGAGAGTGGAGATGGCGGGGGCGGCGCCACCCGTCCCAAATAAGGTTTATTGGCTATATAGCACAGTGGTGGAGCCGGGCTATGAAATACATCCCGGGTTATTGCCGCTGTGTCTCAACCCGCGGCGCTCCATCATCCTTCTTAAATGGTGTGTTGTCGGCCCCTTTACTACCCTCTTAAAGGAACGTTTCCCTCTCACGTGTAGGTCGCTCTGTTGCTTAAAGGAACGGTCCTCTCCCACTTGTAGGTCGGCTCTGTTGCTTAAAGGAACGTTTCCCTCCCACATGTAGGTCGCTCTGTTGCTTAAAGGAACGGTCCTCTCCCACTTGTAGGTCGGCTCTGTTGCTTAAAGGAACGTTTCCCTCCCACATGTAGGTCGCTCTGTTGCTTAAAGAAACGTTCCTCTCCCACGTGTAAGTCGCTCTGTTGCTTAAAGGAACGGTCCTCTCCCACGTGTAGGTCACTCTGTTGCTTAAAGGAACGTTCCTCTCCCACGTGTAAGTCGCTCTGTTGCTTAAAGGAACGGTCCTCTCCCACGTGTAAGTTGCTCTGTTGCTTAAAGGAACGTTTTCCTCCCACGTTTAGGTCACAGCTCAGGTAAATGCTGTTGATTAGTTTTTGACATTTTATATTAAAATTGATTCTGATATTGATGACCTGTTGGTATATATATATATATATATATATATATATATATATATATTGGTGACGTAGTGATCCGTAGAGTGATAAGATTGCGTCAATTATTTAATTGGCATCAGCTATAGCTGCCAGATGGATGGGTCAACATATCTATGGACACAAGAACAGGGAAACTGCATTGGAGGCTACCCAAAAAATCGCATCTAATGCGTTATGTGCGCTTTTCTCCTATGGGTTATGGGTCCTCCTTCCAGCCAAAGGTTTTACCTCCTTTTCACCGGCCCGAGTTCACCCTGGTAATG